CGAACGAGGGGATTCAGGCGAACCCTCCCTATTCTCTGTAGCTAGAGGCTTTCGTGACGTTTATTCCCTGACTCCAGGACCGACCGCAGGGCCCATTCACATGGAACCCCATTCGGCTGTTCTCTCCAGTGCGGTCGGTCATTTTATTCCCTCCATGAATTTCCCGAACCCCTGGTCTGATCTGGGTGATTTTTGGATATGTTGTTCACCCAGATCAGGGCTTCCAGGGGTTGTATGATTTAAAGTGGTACCCCTAAGTTTAGGGGTACATCCAGAAACGGCGGGAATTGGTGTGCTGGATAAGGGGATTATGATGCAGGCTGAGGGGAGGAGATGTGTGGGAGGTTACCAGAGCAGGATTGGCTACTGTACTAATGAATGAAAATCCCTCCCTTGCATGGGAGCAGGCTTTAAAAGGCCACTGTCTGAATAAACCTTTAGTTCTGCTCCTGAAACTGTGTGTCGTCCAGTTATTGGGATTGCTGTTGGGATACTGCTGTTATTTTGCCTGCTGGATACTTTACCCTATGGATTTATAATTGCTTGTTCCTGAACCTCCCTGGGATCCAAAGTGGAGATAGGCTGTGTAATACCAGCTCTCTCCGCTACACTGTTATATTCCAGTCAGTATATTGTGTATTACACACACACATTGCTGTTATATTCCAGTCAGTGTATTACACACACACACACATTGCTGTTATATTCCAGTCAGCGTATTGTGTATTACACACACATTGCTGTTATATTCCAGTCAGTGTATTGTGTATTACACACACACACATTGCTGTTATATTCCAGTCAGTGTATTGTGTATTACACACACACATTGCTGTTATATTCCAGTGTATTGTGTATTACACACACACACATTGCTGTTATATTCCAGTCAGTATATTGTGTATTACACACATATTGCTGTTATATTCCTCTCAGTATATTGTGTATTACACACACACACATTGCTGTTATATTCCTCTCAGTATATTGTGTATTACACACACACACACACTGCTGTTATATTCCTGTCAGTATATTGTGTATTACACACACACACACTGCTGTTATATTCCAGTCAGTATATTGTGTATTACACACATATTGCTGTTATATTCCTCTCAGTATATTGTGTATTACACACACACACATTGCTGTTATATTCCTCTCAGTATATTGTGTATTACACACACACACATTGCTGTTATATTCCTCTCAGTATATTGTGTATTACACACACACACACACTGCTGTTATATTCCTGTCAGTATATTGTGTATTACACACACACACTGCTGTTATATTCCTGTCAGTATATTGTGTATTACACACACACACTGCTGTTATATTCCTGTCAGTGTATTACACACACACACACACACACACACACACACACTGCTGTTATATTCCTGTCAGTATATTTTGTATTACACACACACACACATTGCTGTTATATGCCTGTAAGTATAATGTGTATTAATACAATAAAGCTCTCTCTGTGGCTGAATGTGTAGTTTTCCTGCAATCTATCAGTCAATAAATCATTTTTTGTGTATTAATTTCCCTTAGTATTTCACCGGTCAGCCATTACTGTGAGAATGTTACACACCTGCTGATGGTGCCTGTCATTGGGTCATGTTTAGTTATATAATGACCACCTGCAACACTGTAAAACGTGTTTTGGGGCAAAATAAGTGGGTTTGTGTTGATTCATGCATTGTCTACTTCACATGATATCCGACAGCATGCATAGGCAACCTTTGGCACTCCAGATGTTTCAGATTACACCATTTGATTAACAAAGGAGGAGACAGAAACATTAGCCGACAACATTCAGAAAGGAGGCTTCATTGCAGATGAAGTTTGGATAGCCATTGTGACCAGATGCAGGCTGACAAATGTCCGGTGGGCCACAATGGCTGACACAGTAGATTAACACACACTGCAACCCTCACACACACATACTGCGTTGAGGGGTACAGTGTATGTGTAAGGGTGGGTACGCATGCTGTGTGGTGGGGGGGTGGTAAAGATACATTTAAAAAATATTAAATCTGTATCCCCCCTCCCGTCTTCTTACCTTTGGTAAATAAGGGGTGGACACAGCCAGCCCTGGTGGTCTGGTGATGGTACGTATATGTCTGTGAAGCAGCTCTCCTGTCCTCCCGCGCGATGCTGTGTGGAGCGTTGCCATGTTGGTGCTTGGCAATGCGACACTGATTGCTCGTGGGAAGACAGGAGAGCTGCTTCCTAGATCCCTCCCCCTGCTTCCGGTCCTCCCGACAAGAAAGCAGAGTAGGCGCCTGCCATTCTGGGCAGGCATGTGCCTACTCTACATTGCTGCAGACAGGGGCCCCTCACCCTGGCGACCTATGGCCACATGCCCACAGAGGGCCCGGCGTGCCACCGGTACGCAATCACTGCGCTAGATCCTCTACACACACAATATCCCTGACACAGAGTAAATGCCATATACACCTCATGCATACACTAGATTCCCTACACGCATGCCTACACTCACTACATCCCCTGTACACATACACTACAGCCACTCTGCACACTCTCGCTACATCCCCCACGGGAAGAAAATTATTTCAGTATTGTATCTATTTTAAGCCAAAAGTTCATGGCGGCACACTTCCACCACATGTGGAACAAAGTACTCATGGCTGACTTGCAGGTCCAACAGTTACCATCCAAGCTAGGGTCTATTGGGTGCAGAATCTGCGGTGGGATGTGCTGTAAGGAGAGCAATGTCTACCAGAGACTAAACCGTGCTGGATCTAATCTTCTATTTTGTACCATTTATATATTTCTCCTGTGAACATTTCCCCATATTTCAATAAAGCAGAGATAAGGAGCTGTGGGTGTTGTGACTAAAGCAAGGTAAATCAATGCAGTCCATGGTCAAGTAGGGTCAGATTATTACACATAATCTCAAAAGTAGTAAGGTTTCTGGAATGCAAGTGCTTTGTGGGATGCTAGCAATAGAACGCTGGAATTGTGAAAAGGGATGTCCCTGCCGCAGAACAGGATTTTCAGGGCTTTCATCTACATTAAGAAAACATGTTGGACTTGCAGTATAGAGAAGGCCACCAGTAGGTACCATGCTGACCTTGGCAGTGTCCTCTAGATCAGGGCAAGAAGTGGGAATGTAAAAGAGGTGCACTCCTGTTTTTATGTGGTAGGATGCCAAATTTGTAATGTAGCATTTGGTAGCCTGTCACAAGAGAATTGGTAACAATTATTCCTCTAATTTGCATCTCATAATAATGTACCAACAGCTACAGCAATGAGGGTGGGCAAGGTTTCCTAACTTTTTGTATGAGCACTATTCCTTGTTAACATATTTAATACGGTGTTGAAACAAGTTTGTGTTTAATGCATGGATAGTGTGACAGAAGTATGATTTCTATATATTCCCACTTTGCCAGTTAGTACATGCTGTCATGAGACTCTGTCTAGCTCCATGCAAACGAATAGTTGCCTAAGAAGCTGGAAGTGGGGTTCACCCAGTCATATGGGACATCACCTTGGCAAACTGTGAACGCACTTTCTAACCTAGTCCGCATGGGTTAAATTAATTGCATCAAGGTTTTTCTACCCAACTTGGCAGCCACAACTTGAGACCTATTATTAGAGCACCTCCTATACAGTTTTATTGCCATAATTTCTCCTTCCCTTCCAACAACTCCACCTTTCACACAGTTCGTTTAAATCATTTTCTTCAAATCCATCACTCCCATCTGACAGGTTCCATTTTAGCTTCTGTCAAGGACAGAATGGTGATGCAGATAAAGTTCTCAAATGTTTGTATTGAGAGCAAGCAGACAAGCCTTGTGATTCCAGTCCTTGTAAATAGTAATAATAATTTCTCAGCACTCTGTTAAAATATAATGGTTTATTGTGTCACCAAACTGTGAAAAGCAACATTTTGTCACTTCACGGTGTTTATATTGAGCCATGATGTGTAAATGAAGTGTTAATGTGAAGTTTGTAAACATATACGGATGAACACAACACATGATACCAAAGAAACAATAAATCTGCTATGAGAGGTTAGTCACTTTACATCTAGAAAAGAATACCTCACAGGGCTTAACCCTTCAATTGTCTACAAATGAACAATACACTTAATACTAACTCCATCAAATGGGTGATACCTTAGTGTTCCACTTAAACTAACAGTCTAGTCTTGCTGCTCACAAGTCTTCAAGTGACCGAAATATAATGTGCTTAACAAAATGCTACTGGAATGCTCTACAAGTAATCATTCACATTTTTGGCACCTCACAACCTCATTTTCTGCAGTTATTTGTAATGATATGATATTGTGTAAAAACAATTTATTTTTATTTTTTTACCTTACACACAAATGTAAATTTACACAATTATCAGAATTAAGATATGAGAACTAAAAACATTGAAAACATTTGCCTACTCAGATCTTATTATACCTATATTTACCATCTAGAAATTACCAATATAGTGTGCAAAATTATATCTAGCTTTACAGGCTTACAAAAAATATTTCCAAAAATATCCGAATAAACTTTTAAACTTCCTCAAATAAGTACTTTTTAGTACAGTTTATCAGACATTCTAATACTGTCATAGGGATACTGTAAAAACAAATGTTTGACCAATAGAGCAATGGAAAGGGTGGGTTTATGAAGCAAAACTAGTAATAGTTAACATAAACAAACAGACAAAACCTGAAGAAGTACTCCTCTAGATCTAACCTTTTCACTTTGGTTTGGGTCACGTTTGGATACTGCAGAAATGTTAAAGGAACTCTCCAAGCACCATACAGTGGTCTGGAGTGGTTATGGTTCCAGGAGTGCCTTGGCTCCCTCCCAGATTAAGTACTCAAGCATTTTGAGAGCTTACTTTGGTCTGCTGGTCGTGTCCTGTGCCCCTGAAGATTCTACATTGAGCTTAGCCCAGCTGTGCAAGGTTTAGCGCATTGTCTGAAACTGCTCAGCTTTCAGCCAATGAGCTGACCCTGCATGGCAGAGCTTTGCTCAGTGGAGTTAATGGAAGCAAGCCCATAACAAGAGCTTCAGGTTCCATGGGAGGAGGTGCCCAACAGACTAGGTAAGTTTGCCAAACCATTCTCAAACCACTTGGCTACTTATCCTGGAAAGGTGCCAGAGTATGAAAAGCTTTGTTTTCGCCTACTGGACATATAACTGTTTTGAGATTAAAGTTGCACATTGTGCCTCTGGGGTACATTTAATAACCTTGTTAACTAAAGTGAGAATTGTCCGAAATTTCAAGTGAAATTCAAATTTAAGGCCTAAATAGCAAAACTGAATAAAAATCTGTTAGCTGTGCAGCCAGTTCAGCTATTTTGGTTTAAATTTGAGATTGACTTTGAATGCCTGACAATTTCCACTTGGTGAATAACCCTGTGAGGCTCTTAATTGTAGTTTCAACATCTCTTCATATGGGCACTAGTGGCTGTTTTGTTGTTTTGCAATTTGTTAGCATTCTCTTTTCACAAATGCTTTCATATCCAGTTACTTGAAAATATATATATATATTTTTTAATCAACAGGGTGACTTGGGTCCTTTTAATCCTGGCTTACCTGTTGAGGTTCCACTTTGGCTGGCCATCAACCTCAAGCAGAGGCAAAAATGTCGTATTGTTCCTCCGGTGTGGATGGATGTTGGTAAGGATCTGAGATTTATTGATTCCAGCACCCCCCATAGACCTTGCAAATGCATTACCACTAACCCATGAGAGTTTATTGGATCCTGTGAGGTATAATTAATTGTGGATGCATACTGCACATAGCTGTCTGGTATAAGGGAAGATGGCAGTAATTTTCATGGGTTCCTGGAACCTCCAAGCCCAAAGTCACTGCCAACCCACTCAGTGCTCTAAGATAGATGGCCTCAGGAGGTAAAATCACCACCATAGGATTTATTGGTGATTATGTAATTCAGACTTCTCATTAATTACATCTATATGGGAAGAAAAAACACAAAAACAAATGAACAGTCCAAGAGCCTATAGCTATAATATTGTATAGGGGAGAAAAATAAAACCATAAAAGAAATGCCTAGAACGCGGATTTTAGATTTATAAGTCCCACCAACGCACATAAAAGTATTTGTATATGCCAATAAAGAATCCAAATCTAGACAAATTTTATATAAGCGACAGACCTAAAACAAAAAACAAAAAACAGACTTGTATAGTACAAAATGATAGAGGTAATTGCAGTGATGGTGTACTAGAGACCACTCACATGGTCTCTATAATATATAACATTATGTATAATATAACATCAAAACAGCCCAAATTGCAATATAGTGTAAAGAAAATGAAGGCCATAATATATTAGAGAATGCACACTCAGAAGACACTTAACCATCCTGAATCAGGTTAGCAATTCTTATTGGTATGATCCCTTTGTATGTTAAATGCTAAGGTAGGGTCCAAGTTACTACCATGTAGATAGCAGCGTGAAAGACAAATGAGCACAAAGCCAAATAGTGCAAAAGGTTAGAAATAAATGGAACAATAATGTAGTATGGAATGCACATGGCTGTCAGCTGTCCTGGCTTAGGATAGATGGTGAAAGTCTTACAAACTCTAGCCATTATGTGGAACTGATGAAATGGAAAAACAAACAAACCATAAACAAACCTGTCATGTCAGGAGCAACACCATACAAAAAAAGAAGTATTCATATAAACCAGAATAATTAAAATGCTATTTATAGAGTGTTTTAGCACTTTTCTTCTTTATCATAGTGCCCCGAGTGGATGTAGCATAGAACCTGTGTGGCACCACATCCATGCCTACTGCACAAAACATGACCACAATGCAGCATCTTAGAAAGTGGGGGAATCAGGGGCAAAACTAAATTGATTGGAGTTGTGTGATATACTTTACTGAATATCAAAATTCTGTGTCTACTTAAATCTGTGTTTAATTAGATAACAAAAACCCAAACAACTTTACAGTTCCTTCAATGTTTGGGCAGCAGCAAAAATGCAAAAAAAGTGATCTTCACAGTGGCTTCTTTTTGCTGTTATCATTCTGTTGTAGATTGTGGCTAGGGGGGATGCCCATTGCATTGTGGTTCTGGCTCCATCTAGTGGAGGTTTGTGGCTCATATTTTGTGTAATATGCAGTGACCCATACAGTGCACTCATAATACTGTATTTTATTATAAGACCAAAAGTAAACAGGTAATTGTGTTTTGTAATGTAATCATCTCCTTTTGTTTGTAGAGAAGCTGGAGGCAATTCGAGATGAAGAGCGCAAGGAGGCTACTTTCACCCCAATGCCAAGCCCGCACTACATGGAAGTAACGAAGCTGCTGCTAAACCAGTAAGTAAATAATTGACGTGACCTTTTGCATTGTGTATAACCAGCTCCACTTTTTTAGTCTGCACTATCACTGACACCATGTCCCTGTGTAGCTACACACTAATGTCTGTGCCTTGCAGTGGTTCATGAGAGATTTCCATCATCTGTGCTTAGTGGTGGATTCTTCTGTTTGTGCTTAGCAATGCTTTGGAACGGTATGGTTTATTGCCTGGCGTTTGGATACATATTAGTTAAACTTGCCAAAATGATTGTGCAGCTTTGCCTTATGGAGTCTCATGTTGCTTGAAACAAGGCATGTCTGCCGTTGCTTGAACATTTTTCTGCTTGTGTCAGGCTTCTTACCTGACATCTTTACACCTGTTTTCTCATCACAGCGCTTCCGACAATATTCCCAAAGCAGATGAGATCCGCACACTTGTCAAAGACACATGGGACACACGAATAGCCAAACTCCGGCTCTCTGCTGACAGCTTTGTGAGAGAACAGGAGGCTCATGCAAAGGTATGAACGGGTACTGTGTCCTATATTCTAACCTGTGGGTGAAATGTGGTCTTTTTATAAATGTACCTTTTTGAATATGTCCAAATATTCTAATACTGCATTTCTAAACAAAGCGATGGATAAAGTATGTCAATAGTTTAAAATATTTAACAGATACTCACCATGAAAATGACAGTTGATTCAGCTAGACACTATGAACATGTTCAGTATCTCTGCTCACATTGTGAAATGCAGAGCTAGTTCTTGTTGTGCTTTAAAATAAGCAATGAAAACATTGTTTTAATTGTTTAAATGTTAGTTATAGATACATCTGCTAGATTAATGACAAGATTTTCTTTTAACAGAGCAAAATACAATGGAGATTAGTTTTACAGTTGGACAAAACTAAACACATTTTCTTATTGTTAAATCCCTTGTGCAGCTTACTCAGCTAAAAACAGTGGCCAGTTTTAGCTGCTCTGTGATTAAACCCATTTTACTGTCCCTCTACTGTTACAAAAAAAAAAAAAAAAATATTCTTTCTTCTTGTTTGCCAGCTGGATAACCTGACGTTGATGGAAATTAACACCATCGGAACTTTTTTAACCGAATCTTTAAACCACATGTACAAACTGCGAACCAACCTGCAGGCGCCTGAGGAAGGACAATCCCAAGATTACTAACACAACTGCTGGGTCCAGTTTCTGCCTAATTCAAAAGGGAGCCTAACATTTTCATGCCTTTTGATTTCATTGGATGAAATCCAGCTATTCAGTGCCAAGGCTTCCTTTTTTTTGTGTCATGCTTAAATGTCATCTACGCTGATGACTGAGGATTGTGTGGTTTATGTGCACGTTGTAATAGTCACTGATATATTGTAAAAACTCCTCAATCTCACCTCTTCCATTCTTACCTCTTCTTGTGAGACTTTTTATGGAAAATATCTTCCAAGTTTTATCTGCTTGATCTGATTGCTGGGAGAAAGTGGTATAAATAAAACCAAAATACTGTTGTACACCTTTATGAGAAAATGGCAATAATGGTGACAGACCTGGATTAAATGTTCCCTGAAAAGAATATGTGGACTGGCGTCCTCTGCACAGTCATGTAATGACGTTCGTGTCCTTTTTCCATACTATGAAATGTTCTGTTTGCTATCGCTGCAATGTCTGGTAAAAATATTCAGACCCGGACTTTGTATAGATCTTGTGATTTTGGGGAAACCATTTGTCTTCAATTTTTTCTGATCTGTACTGGCACCATTAATTAGGTTTTTTTTTTTTTTTTCTTGTCTTTAACACAAATTGTAATGATTGCGAGATTTATTTAACTATTATGCTCTGTGTATCGTTCTGCATCATCCAGTTCTGTAATTTTGCCAGTGGCCGTGGTGCCATTGAACAATGGTTCAGGAGTTATGTTGTTTTGCTTTTGGTCTGGGGAATACTTAATCAATGAATGCTGTAAGTATGTATTAATTCACTTTTTCACCAAAACACTACACAGAAACAAATTCATTCTCAAGAGTTAGTATTGCTCTCCTTCTCTTAACAATGTTTTACCTTCTGTCTATACACCAAAATGTTATTTTTACAATTTGTCAAAATGCTATTACCTGACTTGTGGGGTTTATACTATTAGCCTAAATGTTGCCCTTTTCAGTTCCCTGCAGTTTGGTGTTTAGTGAATTAGCTTCATAGGTTTGGTTTGTTCCCAGGCAGTGTGTATGCATAGTGACGGTCCACACTGTGATTAACTGCAAATGAACTTTTGTTTTGGATTGAATACTTTATTTTTTTTCAATGAGTCAGAATCCAGCTAGCATTCTAGTCATCGGCTAAAAAAAAACATCTTTACAAACACAAGCATTTACATAAAATGCACACTTATCTTATGAAGTGGGTAAAACAGAGAGCCAGGCCATGGAAAAACATTGCTAAATAGAAGTATTTCGATAAAGAACGCAATCTTTGATCTTTGTTGCTGGTTTGTCTCTTCATACAATGCAAGTAGTTACAGTTCTTCTTCCCTGAGTGCAAATATAAATGTAGAAACATTTCAGCAATCCGCTCGGGATTTCATGGATAAAGCTCAACTTTGTGGCAGCACTCTGTGTGCTTGCTGTATAAGACCAGTGTTTGGTGCCCTCTAGTGCAATGTTAAAGCCATAACTTTGAATATGAAATGACTGACAGGAACATGTTTCAGAAGATTGAGGCTCGGACTTGTCAGCCACCTGCTTATGTAATGTGGTATTAAATTTTCATCCACCTCCTCGGGTACACCTCTAACTCGTAGGTTACATTGCCACTTAAAGTCCACTAGTGCTAATGCAATGTGGTATTGTATGAGTTTACATCCATCTGCATTGGGTCACCTCTAGCTCATAAGGCTGTTTTCCTTCACTTAAACACAATATAATGTGTAATTTAATCAAAGTCTCCCAGAAACTCAGGTCATACACATCTTCTACCGTCTGTGGCTAGCTCCGCTCCCTGTTTTAATACCAAATAAGATTCCTTAGCAGCCCGTCCCTCTGTTCTGCTTTGGTGATCAGGAAGCATTAGCCTAAGCAGAAATGGGCAGCTGTGATTGGTTTAGAGTGTCAGCTGACTGCTATCTGTCTTTTTCATGATACCCATTGCTGGTATGAATTGGTATGACTAGTGGGAAGTGTGTACTCTCTGCCTTTGTCATACCTCAAGTTGGGGTTAGGCTGTGTGGGGCCAAGGACCTTTATTTAGTGTTGAACAGCTTGAAAATGGTTTAACACTGAATGACCAGACACCATCAGGAGACTCTAAGCACTATAACCAATTAAATGAGAAGAAACGGTTATAGTACTTAGTGTCCCTTTTAGGGTCTGTAGCCTTGGAAGTTTTTAAGGAAATGTTCTAGATGCCTTACATTTGTATTGCATACTAAAATCCATTTTACAAATATTGATTTTATAGTAATTGTTTGTAATTTGGCCTTTCAACCAAGAATATCTGTGGCACCTTCTGCAGTATGACTAATAGTGATGAAGATTATATAAAGTACATTCCACCACATTAGGCAGTTTGAGATTTGGTCAAAAACAACGGGATTACCAAGGACGCATTGGCTCCTTTGTACAGCAAGGTAACTTAATTATTCTTCAAGGTTTTCTAGAATTGTATCCTTCAAAGCTTCCGTACAAACATAATTTCACTTCTGCTCTTTAGTCTACTCTATTTGGTGCACAACGACCAGATACAACATTGCATTTTCTGTGTATAAAACAATGAATGCTTTAACCATTTCAGAGCTGACAGAGTACTCATGCTTTAATTTTCATAGTTGATACTGTAATTTTTCTTGCTGTCTGTCAGATCATCAAAAGGGCTTCCCAGACAATTTGTAGCATTTATATTCTGTAATCTAAAAGTCAATATGTCATATAGCACAGCTAAGATTGTGTATGTGCTTTCACTCCGTCAGAATATTGTTAGATGTTGGGCAGTTTCAAAAGTTTGTTCAGGTTTAGACGAGAGGCATGCCTTCTTTGCCCCCGATGCATCCTATTCCTGGCATATGGGGAGTTAAGGTGTTTTACCAGGGCAGCTCCTACAGTTTTATCATTCACCAAGTTTGATACATTATTTATAATGCTGTACACTTTAATCATTGGAGGTATATGCTGATAACCGCAAATTAAACACAAAGGAAGTGTCAAAAATACAGTATTTGAAGCACTGCATGGTACTCTCCTGCAAAAAATCTTTTAAAGGAACACTATAGTCACCTAAATTACTTTAGCTAAATAAAGCAGTTTTAGTGTATAGATCATTCCCCTGCAATTTCACTGCTCAATTCACTGTCATTTAGGAGTTAAATCACTTTGTTTCTGTTTATGCAGCCCTAGCCACACCTCCCCTGGCTATGATTGACAGAGTCTGCATGAAAAAAAACTGGTTTCACTTTCAAACAGATGTAATTTACCTTAAATAATTGTATCTCAATCTCTAAATTGAACTTTAATCACATACAGGAGGCTCTTGCAGGGTCTAGCAAGCTATTAACATAGCAGGGGATAAGAAAATCTTAATTAAACAGAACTTGCAATAAAGAAAGCCTAAATAGGGCTCTCTTTACAGGAAGTGTTTATGGAAGGCTGTGCAAGTCACATGCAGGGAGGTGTGACTAGGGTTCATAAACAAAGGGATTTAACTCCTAAATGGCAGAGGATTGAGCAGTGAGGCTGCAGGGGCATGTTCTATACACCAAAACTGCTTCATTAAGCTAACGTTGTTCAGGTGACTATAGTGTCCCTTTAATCTGAACTGGATGCATGCAGATTGTCCTGTATTTCTTGATTTTAATTAGTAGTTCTAAAAGGCATAGAACTCTCAGAAATTGGGTGAAGATATTCACAGGATGATCTAGAGTACTATGGTTTTATAGGGGAGAAAAAGTGTTTCTGTAAATGCAATAATATGTACTTAGTAAAGCGTTTCCATATAATACACCAGGGCTTGGCATATTTGCCTTGAAGCCCTGCAGGCTTTTCAATGTAAACACTGCCATTTTATTTTATTTATTTACTTATTACTGGTATTTATATAGCACCTAACATATTCCGCAACACTGTACAATTGGGAAAAAGACAATACAATAAAAACAGACCAATACAACAGGTAGAGGGGCCTGCCCGTGAGCTTACAATCTAAAGGTATACTGTGGAAGTGAGACAAAAGGTAGCAGAGGAATTTGTATGAGATGGCATAGAGAGTTAATGGTATAACTGCAGCAACTGATGGCATGTGAAGGTAATAAGGAGGTGATTGGCTCTGGTTCCCAAAAGCTGGAATAGCATACTATATACCGTATTTTCCGGCGAATAAGACGACCCCCAACTTTTCCAGTTAAAATATAGAGTTTGGGGTATACTCGCTGTATAAGACTACCCCTCTTCCAATGCACACCAAATAAAAATTAGCCATGATGTACAGTGAGCAGACAGCCACACAGCAAGACATTAAAGAATAAATAGCATTTAAAGCCCAGGTATGTGCCAGGCTGTTTTGGCATATAATCCATGCCTGCTGGTCTAGCAGACAGGAGGCTAATTGTGATATATGCTCATACTGCCAATCCTTAACCCTTTATTCTACTGTGACTATATTAAACCTGGCTGGACTCTGCTACCTGGATTTGGGGAATTTATGGGGCGCATGGGGCAAACTCTACCAAGGCTGGGCGAAATGGGGCAAACTGTACTTAGACTGGGGTGGCATGGGGCAAGCACTATACCAGCTTGTTGGCATTGTGGAAAGTGCACTCATGATGTGTGGCATGGAGCATACACTATACAGAATGTTCTTTAATAATTATACTATACAGTGGTCCTTTAATAATTACATGTAGCTGCAAGTACAAAATTATACAGTAGTATACTACAAGTTCAAATGGTAACATTGTTATAGTAAATTAATAATGTAGTAACTAAGATGAAGGAAATCCGGTAGAATAGCTTCTGATTTTCAGTCTGTACCTTTTAAACTGAAGTCTTCAAATTAAATGGACTTCTTGCAGGGGTGGATGTAAAACTGACCCTTTAATCTGCAGTCTTTAAATGAAAAAGGTAGTGTTTAAATTACTTCCTAGTGACACCTCTAGTGACAGTCACTCACAATGTGCAGCACCTACATTCAACATCTCCACACTCTGCATGGAGGCACTGAATGTTCTCAATAGAGATGCATTGATTCAATGCATCTCTGTGAGGAGATGCTGATTGGTGCAGCGTTTTGCAGCCAATCCTATGGGAAAATATTGGATAATCTCAGCCATAGAGGCAGGGCCAGTTGAGGGGAGACCAGCACAGCGTGGGGGAAAAAAGGTGAGTAAAACCACCATTACCTTGTAAATGGAACGAAATGGGTCACCTAAACACACACACATATCATGACTGACAGACACACACATTATTGCTTGTTTTAATACATGTGGGGTCCAGTGGGTGACCGGCTGGGGGATTATGGAGATTGGCAGCATGCTGGGGGATTATGGAGCCGTGTGGCTGGCTGCGCCTTTTGTTGCCAAGCGGCGAGGGAGCTGTGATGTCCCTGCTCTGCTCCCTTGCTTAATGAGGCTGCAATATGATGTAATTTTCCGGCCTCACTAAGGCACGCGCGAGGGAGCAAAGCAGGAACATCACAACTCCCTCACTGCCCACCTATTCGCGCAGCTACCCACCCACCTCCACGACACCCCAGCATGCCCCCCCGCCTCGATAATCCCCCAGCTTGCCGCCCACCTCCACAATTCCCCAGCTGACTTCCCGCCCGCCTTGGAGGGCGCCGGGCTCACATGTCCCAGGCACCAAGGCGACCTTGTGCCTGGGATTTGTCGAGCCCTGTAATACACACATCCACGTATACACACAAAATCTAAACTTTGTGTAATCAAAATTATCAAACCCCCATTGAAAATCAGGTTTATTGTCAAAATTTACATACTTTGAGCAACTGAAATCGCTCAAAACAACAAATGCATCAAGTGTTTTCCTCAAATTCAACTGAAAATGAGGGCTGAATATTTTTGATTACAACTGTATGTACATGCACAAAAGCCAGTGTGGAGCTTTGTCTTTTTAAAATCTGCATAAAACATCTAGTTTGGGAGTAAGGCACAGATGGACTTAGTATCCTAAAATTGCCATTTAATGTTTTAACGTGATCCTCTGTCAAAGTACCTCAATTTTGTATGTGTAGGTATATATATAATATACATATATAATACATCAAATATTTGTGTGCACCAGTAAGGCATTTTATACTTTATCAGGAAACAGTGCAATGCAGTTTGTTTACCAAGAATATAGTATAGTCCAGCATGTAGTCCTCCGGCCAGCAGTAGCTACTGACCTAATATAACCTTACTGAAGGGTTCCTAGTGCTGACTCCAGAGCAAAAAGCAGTAACCTCTCTAATGATTTAAGGAGTTGGTAATAGTAAGACGTTTAAAGGAACACTTTTAGACCCAGTGGTGCGCCCCTCCTTTTCCCTCCCCGTCCATGAAAGGGTTGTTTAAATTATCCCACAAAGGCCTTGCATTTATGAAAATAGACACTGACAGAGGATCTCTCCCATGATGTGTATATTGTACCTTAAATTGCCGCTATTTCTTCACCAGTTAATCTGTTTGTAGAAGAAGAAGAAGAAAAAAAAACACATCATTTTTGCATTTTGTTTTACATGAACGTTGCATTTTTGCTAGGTATTTTGCAAATCTAATGCCGCTGTGATAAAACCCCCAAATTATGCTCTGCAACATTTTCTGAGTACGATACCCCCAATGTATGCCATAGACACTTATCATACAAAGTTATAGTGCCATATAAGAGACCACACCATTGCAGCTTTTTAGGTGTGAATATTCAAAGATGAATTTGATGGATCTATGTCTTAGTTTGGGGCACTTGAGCAATTTGACAGTTTAAATTTCCCCATTAAGGCCTATCATTTGTGAAAGTAGACACCACATGGTATCTCATTTGGTGTATATTGTACCTAAAATGTCTCGCCATTTTTTTACCATATAATGTCAACGTTTGTAGAAATAATTTTTTAATTTTTGCATTTTTTTTGCTGGATAATTTGTAAATTTGATGTGTGCCACAGTGATAAATAAATAATAAAAAATGTGATCAGCAGTATCCCTAATGTATGGATTTGTCACTAATTTGTGATGTTGCATGCCATATAAAAGTTGGGAGAATTTTAGCTTATTAAAGGGACACTATAGTCACCAGAACAACTACAACGTGAGTATAATCATTCCCTGCCGGCATTTTCATGTAAACACGGCCTTTTCAAAAAACAATACAAAAAAAAAGTGTTTGCATTGGCCCCTAGGTACACCTCCAGTGGCATGCCTCAGATGGAGGTGCTTCCTGGGGCAGTGATTCAGTGCATCTCTATGAGGAAGTGCTGATTGGCAAAGCTGGCATTTGGTCCCACCCCGCCTCCATGCCAATTTCAGCCTATAATGCTTTACCTACGGGAAAGCATTGGATTGAATGAAATAATAAATTCTGATATCAGCAAGGACGCGGATTGGCGACGGGGCCAGCGCTGGCAGACCAGCGCGACACTGTAAATAAGATGTTTTATTACCTTTTTAAGGCAAGCCACCTAAATGGTAGTTTCAACAATATTTGGTCAGGAATACATATTGGTGTTCCTGACCTTATAGTGTTCCTTTAAGAGTCAGTTTTCATAGATGGATTTAATGAAACTTTGTCTCATTTTGGAGCATTCTAGCAGGTTGCTAGTTCAAACAATCTCACAAAGGTTACATTTGTTAATGAAGACACCTCACCTCAGAGTATCTCAAATGGCATATTTTGATCCTTACCGTGGGGTTATTTTTTTTTGCTAGTTTGTACTAATTGTAGTGGGAACATATATAAATAAATATATATAATATAATTTATTTTTAAAAAACATTTTAGAGCATTTCAGCAGACTTTGATTTAAAATTACACAAAGGCCACATCTAATTTTAAAATTGCAGCTCATCGATCTAAATTATGAAAAAGAGCATACTAATTGCTCTAGCCTAGGGACTCTATCATACAGATGGTTTTCTTTTGGGGCGGGGGGGAGACAAATAGGCTTTCAAACTTCTGATTTAAGTGGGAAATTAGGGGACAGGTTTTAAACAATCTGCCATCCTGCAGATTATTTCTTTGTAGGTACTCACTATTATCGTTAAAATGTATAAACTGTGGATAATTTCATAAATGTAAAGGCGGAGCCTGGAGTTGTGGGAGGGGCCAGTGCTGATATAAATACTCACCCTCTGCCCTATACTCCTCCTAGGCTTTCGTTCCGTTTTGAGCGTGACGTCACTTTCGGGTATTCCCCAGTGTGCAAACAGACGCGAGGGCCACGTTAGAAGCCTAGCAACCGCCCGGACTTTATTTCCGTTCCCTCCACCCCGCCCCCCCCCCAAAGAAACCTACACGTTTTCCTTTTTCTGAGTCCCCTAGGAAGTAAGTTATTGGCTGTTCAGGGCAATAGGAGCCATATTTAGTTTCCATAGACCTCTATGCCTTCAATTATTGGTCCCACGAGGCCAACACCCATCCTCATACTCGGAGGTATTCTGCCCTCGGTCCAACGCATAGCTAGCCGCCTCGCATGTTGCATAGAGAGGGACTCACCTGTCATGGCCAATTCTATTTTTCTTCTACTACTCACGGAGAGGCTAATACCCCGCCACTACATTCTGTGGTATAGCCCTCGGCCCAACGCATAGTTAGAGCCTCTCAAGCCGCTTGGCACTAGTAGGGCCTCACCTATCACCAATTAAGCTAATTTATTCGCCGCTTGGCACTAGTCAGCAGCCAGTACCTACACGGAAACATTCTAAATCTCAATTTTCCTTTGTAGTATGTCTCAAGCTCCAGGTGGAGACGAACTTTCACTCCCCAACTAGGTCTGGTTCACCTTCCAGAGGACGAGAATCTGTCAGTCCATCATCAAGTAGATCATGGACCATTCCGCGCAAACAGGCCTAACTACGAAGAAGGAACATTCCATTCCCGGCTACTGCCAGGAAGGCGGAATTGTTCAGATTAATATATACGAACACCGGAGCTGGGGAAGGGTCTAGTGGCACCAGGTACATGCCTGACTTACAAACCATGATGGACAATCTTCTCTCCTCCATGGGCCAGATCAGGGATCAAATTGATAGATTGGAGGCAGGACATACAACAACTGACCCACCTTTGACCAAGGCCATGTCCCTAGCGGCCGCTACGGCATTCTTACAGGGTAATGTTGTGACTCCAGTTTCACAGTTTGTAACGGATCACCTGGCACCCCGACTGAGTACCTCCGTTAAAGGATGCTTCTAGCGCTTCCTGAGGACTCCAGGCACTGCAGCAGACACCACAACCACCGAACCGGAGAAGCATATGAATCTTCTCAAGCATATGAATGCTGTAGATAGTTGAATAGGAACCATACGAATAGGTTTACTCTCCTAGCAGTCAAACTGGAACAGCATACAATGAATCCTTCCCCCAATAATGAAACGACTCTTCACTTTGAGGGTTAAAACAGGAACTCTTGTGCTGGCACACCCAGCCTGGTTTTTATTACAGCCTTTCACATACAGGACCGCCCACAGGGAGGTATAAAATAACCAATCACATATCAGTTACATCCCACATATTCCCTCCCCTTATCCTGAGAGGAAACTCAATTACACATACAGGTAAAACATACTTTCTACCCAACTTTCATAACTTTAAAACCATACATCACATTCACATAAAATCACAATCAATCCATTCAGGGGAACAACATATTAAAAAATGGCATGAATCCGACCAGGGGTTCAAAAGTTAGTAAAAGTATCTTTTGGGCCCTGGCTGGCACATGGTTATCTGGCTCAAACAGGTTTTACAGAGCCCTCTATCCTGGAGACAATGGGGAAAGTAATCCAATTATCCAGGGATAGAGGCAGACTCCATTGAGCACATGGTTGCAAAAAGACATAAAACACTTTAAAATACATAAAGTCACCTTTTACACATAACACACAGACATTTCACATATCCCCAGATAGCTGGGATCTGAGCGCACAAAACTACCGAATAGCGCTCAGATCCTATTCACACAGTTCAATTGCCATGGAGCCGAAGTCTTTAACTACACGAATGGGCTCCATGGCATAGCTATCTGGGTTAACACATTCACATAAAGTCTGGTCCATAGTCCAAAGGCAAGAGCCGGGCAAGCAGCCCCCTCCAAGGACACGTGGCGAGGCCGGTTTCGCCACACAGTTAGATACACTAAGACAAGACCTATGCTTATGAGGGGTCTATCAGTAGTCCTCTGGCCAGGGATTCCAGGCTCAATAAAAAACTGACCATTCTTGAGTTTGTACTGGCATTTGGGATTTACGGAGATGTAGTATGTACCAATTCTCCTCAGAGAAGAGAAGAATTGGATACATACATGCACAAGCTGGTTGACTTGGGGCACAAGTATGGCGGATATGCTAAAGGACAAGCTTGGCAGGCCCATTGTTTTTCTCGGGAAATCCCAGATATGTAACAATTTCAATGTGGGGGGCTGCGGGTTTAGTGCTTGCAGGTTGTAACGCGTGTACTCAATGTTTCCGTGCTCACTCCAAAACCATGTGCCCTAATAAACTAAATGCTAAACAGTATTTCACATCTGTTGATATTTTCCAGTTGTCTCAACTATTAGCATCTCACCCTTCACCACAGTTCACTAAATTCTAGGTCACGGGGATTTCAGAGGGCTTTCACACAGGTATTGTAGCATTACCATTCGGTATTACTGAAAGTAAAAATTTACTATCTGCTGTCAACGACCCAAGTACAGTTGATTCACTGTTAACACAGGAACTGAATCAAGGGTTTGTCATAGGCCCCTTTTCCACACCCCCATTCTCTAGTTGGCGTACAAACCCGATCGGTATTGTAACGGGGAAACTCTCTTCAAAGAAGAGACTGATCATAGATCTTTCTGCACCTTACTCCTCCACCATTCCCAATTTAAATTCATTAATCCCTTCGGAAGAATTCTCATTGCAGTACGCCACGATAGATGACGCAGTACAAACCATCACAGCGGCCCCGAGACCACCTCCGTCCCCCATCTCTATTTGCATACTATCGTATGATTACTAGACGACTTGCATTGTACTAGGTCGACACGACCTATACCACGGTGTCACAAAAGTCCCAGGTGGCAACGTCCCAATCTGGGCCCGACACCAGAGGTCTCCCCCCAGACCGCTAGCTGACGCCCGGTGTTCAACCGGTGCCTCCTAGCAATCTCGGGGGACAGTTTCTACTCCGATCTATTTATAGATTTTTCGCTTGTATATAAGTTAATTGTTCTATATTTTTCTCCTCTTGTTGTTTCTCTTTTTCTTTTGCTTTCCTTCCCCTTTTGCTCCTCCCTCCAGGTGACCAAATCCCCCCCCCTCCAAACATCCCCCCTCACCCACAGACACTCTCATTGGCACACCTACGAACGTATCCAGACCTGATGGCTACCATACAATTAGTCACACTCAATGTTAAAGGCCTCAATACGCCCGAGAAAAGATCCATAGCTCTTACAGAGATGCACAAACTACGAGCTAACGTGGTCTTCCTACAGGAAACTCACTTTAAGAAGGACAGAGCGCCCACTCTCAAGAGCAGGACATACCCAACAGGATTCTTTAGTAACTATAGTCACGCCAAGGCCAGGGGGGTAGCCATACTCTTTGCAGTACACACTCCTTTCACCTACAAGGCTCACAAAACTGATGATGGGGGCAGGCTACTCTTGGTAAAGGGACAGATAGGCCAGACCGTCCTTACATTTGCTAACCTATACCTACCCAACCGACACCAAGGCAAAGCCCTCAAGAAGTATCTTAATATAATTGAATCCTTTATGGAAGGCATGTTGATCATGGGTGGTGACCTGAATATGTCCTTAGACTCTGCCCTTGACACGACCTCCCACTCCACACAATACCAAAATGCTGCAAGGAAACAGATAACACACCTCCTTGACCAAGCTAGACTATTTGACTGCTGGAGAACCACACACCCACAAGATAGAGACTACTCCTTCTACTCCTCAGCCTCACGCTCATACTCCAGGATAGACATGATGTTCCTTCCCCAAGATCACCTGCATCTGGCCATCTCCTGCTCCTATGGTCCAATCACCTGGTCAGACCATGCACCTCTATCCCTAGTCATACAGATCCCTACGCTCCCACTGACGTCCTTTCATTGGAAACTTAACGATTTCCTACTCAATGACCCCACAATCACAACTCGTGTGACAACTGCACTTACCAACTACTTCCAAGAAAACACGCTACCAACCATCTCCCCCATGACCACTTGGGAAGCGCACAAATGCGTCATAAGGGGAGAATTCCTAGCAATAGCGGCCACTCTCAAAAAAAGTAGAACACAGAAAATAGACACACTCACACGAGAAATCAGAGTCCTTGAACATACTCATACCCGAGATAGTTCCCTATCAACCTATAACACCCTCATAACCAAACGCACAGAATTGACACAACTACTGCACCACCAGGCCAAGAAAAAGCTCCTCCATACCAGGCACTCCTACTATACACAGGGAGGTAAATGTGGCAAACTACTAGCCAATGCCCTACGACAGTCAAGGCAAAACACGTACATCTCCAAAATCAAAACACAATTGGGCACTATATCACATACCCTCCCGGACATCATGAAAGCCTTCCAACACTTTTATACCAAACTTTACAACCTCAGGGAGTCACCTCCGGATATAAACGACATAACAAGATACCTATCAACCAGGCTAAAAAATAAAATCCCTGACGCCGTGGCACAGTCCATAGACATGCCCATTACCACTGAAGAATTAAATTGCGCGATAAAATCAATACCACTAGGCAAAAGCCCTGGCCCTGACGGCCTCACAGCCAAATACTACAAACAATTCGCTACACTCTTGGCTGAACCATATCTACGGGCATTTAATGCTCTTACCCATCCAGCCCCACTCCCGGCATCAGCGTTGGAGGCCCATATCACTTTGCTGCCAAAACCCGGTAAAGACCCCAAAGAGTGCGGCAGCTACCGCCCAATCTCGCTCATAAATGTAGACTTGAAGATTTGTACGAAAATCCTAGCCATGCGTCTACAACCTATACTACACACCTTAATCCACCCTGATCAATCCGGTTTCGTCCCTAAACGAGAGGCCAAACATAACACAACTAAAGTACTGAACCTCATCCATCTCTCACGAACCACACAAGGGCAAAGCCTACTACTATCTATAGATGCTGAAAAAGCATTTGATAGAGTAGACTGGACAATGCTGACTACTACTCTCCAGGCCATGGGCTTTGGTCCCAACTGGATGCAATGGATGGGAGCCATATACTCTCACCCAACGGCAAAATTGAGAATAAACGGCCAACTGTCAGGTCCGGTACACATAAAGAACGGCACGAGACAAGGTTGCCCTCTCTCCCCCTTACTCTTTATTCTCACCCTAGAACTCTTCCTACAGGGAATACGGGACCACAATACCATCCATGGCTTTAAAGTTCACCAACAAGAATTCAAGGTATCTGCGTTTGCAGATGACCTACTATTTTCCATCACCGACCCGCTCACCTCCCTGCCTCCACTGATAGCCGAACTGACGACATATGCCAAGTTCTCCAACTTTAAGGTCAATTACACAAAGAGTGAAATCCTACCCCTCCAACTGAACAGACAAACACAAAACACACTTAAAACCGCGTACCCTTTTGCGTGGGGTAGAAGGTCCATCACCTACCTTGGGGTCCATCTACACAGACACTTGAAACAAGCATACGATCTAAACTTCATGCCACTACTCACCGAGATATCAAAAGATCTAACAAACTGGCAGAGACCCGTCTTTAGCTGGCTATGTAGGATCAATACATTGAAGATGAATACATTGCCAAAGGTGTTATATCTCCTACAAACACTCCCCATTGCGATCCCCCCCTCCTTTTTCTCCAAGCTTAAACAAATATTCACAACCTTCATATGGGCGACTAAACGCCCGAGAATAGCGTACACGATTCTGACCAGACATAGGGGAAGGGGGGGCCTAGGCCTACCTCACATGGAACGCCACTATCAAGCGAGTATACTAACCAGAATATACGAGTGGACCACAGAGCCCCCGCTGAAGCAATGGGCATATATAGAAAGCTCAATGTTCCAATCCCCTCTATGCACAATCCCATGGCATGACAAGGGACACACACTCCTCCTGCCTCAACACTCACAACACCCAACGATCATACCCACACTACGCCAATGGTCGCGCATTAGGCCCCAGAAAGACGTCTCACCACACCCCTCACCGCTATATCCCTTGGCACACAATCCAAAGTTCCTACCGGGCACATGCCCACACTTCTTCTCCCAATTTCCATTGGTCCAAAAGACGAGATACCCGATGGTTAGTACAGTTATGACCCCAACGGGAGTGGCTCCACTGTCTATACTGGCCACAACAGACCACCCTACTACCAAACAACACTTCCGATACGCCCAATTGTCCCACTTCTTGAAGGGGGATCCACATTTCATTCGAGGAACAAGGGCACACACACCACCTTTGAGACCTACTGCACCACACACAGCCTTTAGACCAAACACCTATCCATTTTCTACAGACTCCTAAGCACTTCAAGTCACACCCTATTGCCGGCGTTCACGTCAGCATGGGAAGGTGAGCTAAATATCACTATTCCTCAGGAAACATGGCATAGGATCTTCACGCACACACATAAATCATCTGTCAGCACAGCAGTAAGGGAAAGCACGCACAAAAGGATATCCAGGTGGCATTACTCACCTACCAAGATCCATGCACTCTTCCCAACAGTAACTGATATATGTTGGAGATGCGGGCAAACCAAAGGAACCACGGCACACATTTGGTGGCTATGCCCGCCTATTCAAACCTATTGGCAGAGGCTAAGAAGCCTAATAACATCTATCACGGGTTACCAAGTATCACACTCCCCCGAAACCTTCTTATTCCTCATGCACACCACCCACATGCCAAGCCACCTACGCAAACTCATAAACCATATGCTGACAGCAGCGAACATGCTGATACCACTTAAGTGGAAAAGCACTGGGGTCCCATCAGTACGTGAGTGGATACAGAAGGTGGAATTCATACGGACCATGGAAGAATTAAACGCCTCATACTCGAATCACTACAACACATACATTCTAACCTGGCAGCCATAGTTGACCTACCTAGAGCGTTAGAGATACCTAAATGCCACCCTCACCCGACCCATATATTACCTGCACGACCTTCATCCCACCCCCCCTCCTCTCCGTCCTGGCTCTACCACATCGAAAGGTACAACCCTACGAGCCGAACCCATACCCCCCGACCAATGTCGGTAATATGCTTTATACCTGGATTCACTAGAATACTACCCTGTCAAGTTACACAATGTTACAAATGGGACGAAGGGAAAAAATGCGCAAATACTAAAGCCTGTGAATTTTGCAACGATATTTGTTAAGCCGATGTGGCTACTGTTTTATCTGTCTTGTAACACCTTTTTCTTTGCGCAATAAAATAAAGATTATAAAAAACAAACAAAAAAAAAACCATCACAGCGGCAAGTATAGGAGCATGGTTAAGCAAAACAGATATTGTTAACGCCTTTAAACTGCTTCCTATTCACCCATCGCTGTGGCATCTGCATGGTATTAAATGGAGAAACCAGTACTATTTTTTTCAACAGGCTGACGTTTGGGTCTAAAAGTAGCCCAAGGATATTCAACACCTTCGCGGAGGCCTTGTGTTGGTTACTCTTAAATTCATGTAGATGCCCATCAGTACTACACTACCTGGATGATTTTCTCTTTATAGAGAGTAATCATAACCCACCTTCAAGTCTTTAGGCCGCCAAACAGCTGTTTGGGAGGTTGGGGGTCCCTATTTCCCTCTCCAAAACTATAGGTCCAGATACTACGGTCAATTTTTCTGGGTATTGAACTGGACTCGGTGGCCATGGAGGCCAGCTTGCCGCATGACAAAATTCAACGTATCCTAACAGACATTGGTAACTACCTGCGACGAGGTTGTTGTAGTCGGAAGGAGTTACAGTCCTTGTTGGGGTCGTTGAATTTTGCCATGAGAATCATCCCCCAGGGCAGGTCTTTTATTTCTAGGCTTTTATGTCTATTACCTAACCTGCCCTTCGAGGACAGCATAGTTTCTCTGGATACCCATGCTACAGCTGATTTACGAATGTGGCAGGATTTCTTATTCCAGTGGAATGGGAAGTCCATGTTCATACCTCCACTGTCCCCCAATTCCCCAATACTCTGGACAGATGCAGCAGCTTCTTCTGGTTTCGCGGCCATCTGTGGTGACCAATGGTTATGGGGCAGTTGGCCGCCTGAGACCAGAACATTGGAGGCTTTTGGTCATACGTCGGCATTGCTAGAAATATACCCTATCGTGGCCGCAGCAGCAACTTGGGGACACTCCTGAGCGGGACACATGGTCTATTGTTACTCAGATAACCAAGCAACATGCTACATTATTAACAAAGGCCGGTCCCCCTCTCTAATCATTATGAGTTTCATGAGGAGCTTAACTTGGCTCGCGTCAACTCATCAGTTCTTTTTGTATTGCACACACGTACCGGGTATTCAGAACGTAGCAGCTGACCATTTGTCATGATTTCGGTTTCAGGAATTTCACCTACTCCATCCCTATGCCTCCTTGATAGCAACTCTGGCCCCCCAGTTTCAAGACCTCATATTGGATTGAGTCAACTCCTAGAGCATGGCAGATTACTATCACAGAGAGCTCTGTCCGAAAACACCAGGCGTACATACAAAAGAGCACTTAATGTTTTTGTAAAATTCACAAGGGACGTCCAGGTGGCAGACGTATTCGCTATGGAACCTTTGGTAGCGTTTGCCTCTTTTTGCCACTTGAATTTACATCTGTCTTACAATACAATAAAACTCTACCACGTGTTAACCTTCTTTCCAAACAAACAGACCTTCCTCTCCTCCTACCAAATTAAGACATTAAAGTGCATAAAGTGAAAAACCAGATGGAGTCAAAGCGCTTAAAGGACCACTCTAGGCACCCAGACCACTTCAGCTTAATGAAGTGGTCTGGGTGCCAGGTCCAGCTAGGGTTAACCCATTTTTTAATAAACATAGCAGTTTCAGAGAAACTGCTATGTTTTTTAATGGGTTAAGCCTTCCCCCTATTCCCTCTAGTGGCTGTCTCATTGACAGCCGCTAGAGGCGCTTGCGTGCTTCTCACTGTGATTTTCACAGTGAGAGCACGCCAGCGTCCATAGGAAAGCATTGCAAATGCTTTCCTATGAGACCGGCTGAATGCACGCGCAGCCAGCCGGCGGGGTGTAACGGAGGAGGAGAGGAGGCAGAGAGCTCTCCGCCCAGCGCTGGAAAAAGGTAATTTTAAACCCCTTTCCCCCTTCCAGAGCCGGGCGGGAAGGGGTCCCTGAGGGTGGGGGCACCCTCAGGGCACTATAGTGCCAGGAAAACGAGTATGTTTTCCTGGCACTATAGTGGTCCTTTAAGAATATCTGCAGTGCTGCTGCACTACCCCACAGTGACACAAATTAGCAATAGATACCAGAAAGTTGGAGTGCGCTAGCAACTGCACTGGAGTCAGGATCTTCTCTGAGTACTCTGAAAAAATATACAGTATATAGTGCAGACTATCTGCATATACAGGGTATGCAAAATTAAAAGTATATCTGGGGATCAACTCACTTGGACCAGAGCCCTATCACCCCTGGCTCTGGTTTTGAGTTGCTCCAATGGAGAGGGATAAACCCACAGTATAGCAAAACAGGATACTCTTCTGAATCAGATGTAATATCTAGGCAGTATAAACAAATAGAGAGGCAGGGGCCCAAACTGAATAGTATCAAACACAGTATTTATTTAAACAAAAGGTTAAAAACTCTTACTTGAAGTAGTGGGTTTTATTGCTGGCAAACCAGAGTACTCAGAGAAGATCCTGACTCCAGTGCAGTTGCTAGCGCACTCCAACTTTCTGGTATCTATTCCAAATTAAGACATTATTAAAAGGAATTCAGAGGAGCAATACTACACAGGCACCACAAAGACTGCCTATTACAGGGAATGTGTTTAGATCACTATCAGTGTCATGTTACATGATATTGTTTTATTATAATGTACTGTTTCTTTAATGTTCATCTTAAGTTTGTCCCTTGGGTCACTCCATAGTTTGCATGCTGCTCCAGGTACTCCCCTCCCCCTTTTTTCTGTTCTAGTGTATTCTATGCTGTACATTCATATGTGACTTGTTTCTCTGCTATCCTGTATGGAAGAATTGTTCTTTTACCTGTCGTAACTGCACATTCTACAGATCATATGACGAATAAACACCGCCAGATCTTCTTACATGTGAGTTGTGACTGAGTAAACTATCTGGGAAGGTGATTTGGTATGGATAATCTCATCAGGGCAATGAGCGCCATGTGCTCCTGAAAAACACATTCATAGCCTCTGCAGCCGGTCCAGAATAATCAGACCTATTGGATAACTTTCCTTTTGAACCCAAAACAAATTAGACATTAAAAGTAGCTATATATTTAGCTTTTTACGGGTTCCTTAGGCCCAGAGAGCTTACCACAATCCTTACTACCGACACTAGATCCTGTCTTAAAGGACCACTCTAGGCACCCAGACCACTTCAGCTTAATGAAGTGGTCTGGGTGCCAGGTCCAGCTAGGGTTAACCCATTTTTTCATAAACATAGCAGTTTCAAAGAAACTATTTTTATGAATGGGTTAAGCCTTCCCCTATTTCCTCTAGTGGCTGTCTCATTGACAGCCACTATAGGCGCTTGCGTGCTTCTCACAGTGATTTTCACAGTGAGAGCACGCAAGCGTCCATAGGAAAGCATTATGAATGCTTTCCTATGTGACCGACTGAATGCGCGCGCAGCTCTTGCCGTGCGTGCGCATTCAGCCGACGGAGAGGAGAAGAGGAGGATCGGAGGAGGAGAGCTCCCCGCCCAGCGTTGGAAAAAGGTAAGTTTAAACCCCTTTCCCGCTTCCAGAGCCGGGCGGGGGCACCCTCAGGGCACTATAGTGCCAGGAAAACGAGTATGTTTTCCTGGCATTATAGTGGTCCTTTAACGTTGGGCAGCTAATTAAACAGGGAGACCATTTCCTCCTCTCACTGTTACATACAAATACTGCGCAACCAGGGCAAACCGTCACAATACCCTAGTATCCCACCTATAGACACTATGGACACTTTGAATGCGCGGGTGGCACTGCCGCGCATGCGCATTCCGCTCCACTGACGTCAGACAGGGGAGCTGACGTCGGCGGGGGAGGAGAGGTAAGGGAGCCTGGCGCTGGAAGAAGGTGAGTAACTGAAGGGGTTTTAACCCCTTCAGCACTACGGGAGGGGGACTCTGAGGGTGGGGGCACCCTCAAGGCACTAAAGTGTCAGGAAAAACCGATTTGTTTTCCTGACACTATAGTGATCCTTTAATTATGTATACATATTTATATATTTAAAGTCTACGTGTATATTTATGCAATTATGTATATGGGCATATGTATATATTGTATTTTTATATATTTATATATACATGGATATATAATTTCATTCAAAGTGTATTTTGATATCTATATATATGTCATATAGCTGTCTTGATCTCTATTATTTTTTTCAACAAGATTGATTTTAAATGTTTCATCTGCCTTTTTGTGGTGGGGATACCCCGATGTTGGTATTTTGGTGTTGCACGATGTACAGGTACGCTGCATTTTTTCTTTTTTCGCCTATAACTAATTGTTTTGTAAAGTACCTATTTACTTTAATATTCTATGACTAGCAAGTTCACCTTTCTTTCTTCCACGTGAGTGGGAGGGAGTTCTGGGCTGGCTGAGTGTGACAGGAATAGTCACACTCTCCTACATTGGACGCAAGAGAGAAGTTCTTTAGCAAGTACGGCTAGACTTTCGCGATCTATGCCTATGGAAGGTTCACTGTAAAGCTTTAATATACCCTATCCCTTATGATAAACAAGTACGGGTATATTCTACTTTTCCCATTTTTGTGCCTATAATTAAAAAATAGTTCTGTAAAGTTCCTATTTACTGCAATATCTTATGATGAGTTAGTCCATCTTTCTTCCTTCCACTTCAGTGGGAGGAAGTTCTAAACTGGCTAAGTATGATGGGAATAGTCACACTCTCCTACATTGGACGCAAAGAGAATTTTATTAGTAAGCACTGCTAGATTTTATTGACATATGCTCATGACAGGCTCCCTGTAAAGCTTCAATCCACTCTATCACTCACGATAAGCATGTTTCACTATCTCCCATCCACTTGTGTGGCAGGGAGATCCGGGCTGGCCGAGTGTGATGGGACAAGTCACATTCTCCCATACCGGACGCTACAGAAAAGCTTAGTATCAGGCACTGCCCCATCATAGCAATTTATACTTATTATATTGTACTGACATGTGTTTGTCCCGTGAGCCCTTTTTTGACAGCTTTTTTGAGGCAGAGCCGAAGTTTAACAGTCTGGGTGTTCTAGACTGCCGCTCTGCATATTTGATATAACACCTGATCAGCTTTATACATTCGTCGTTATTGAAGTGTAGCAGCTCCTGCACTGTTTGCGTTCCACTGGTCACCCAGCAACGTAGTGGAACGCGGTTGAGGCACTTTGATCGGCTTTCCCACGTGCACCTGAACGCCGTCTGCGGTCTCCACACACATATGAAGGCAGTGAGTACTCTTTTATGTTTACTTATATAAGTATGTTGTATATGGATCTATGTGGTATTTATTGCCATCCTGATGAAAGCCCATGTACTGGGGCTGAAACGTCGATGATTTTTTAATCATATAAATGCAAAGTTATATTTTATAATAATATTTATAAAGTCCTAAGAGTTCGGTCATTTCCAGTTTTTCTACATTTTGTGCCTGACCAGCACCAGGCATTAAAACCATACTCCAGGAGGTGATCGCGTAAGTACATGGGAAAGGGAGGGAAGGGGTTAATTTAAAAAAATATATATATATATTTTATTTATTTCTTCACTGAGTGCCTCTACCCCTTGAGGCACAGGCAGAGCATCGAAAGACTGCCTGATGGCTTCCGATGCTCTGCTTTGTCAAATTTACAAGTTGAAAAGAGCATTTATTATAGTTGGGCCCCCGTAACTTACAAAAAAAACCCTGAAAAAAATGGTACGTGGGGGTACTCTTATATTTGTGAGACAATGTGTATGTAAAAGGTGAAGCCGGGGGACAACGACATTGGAGGCAACTTTGGGGTTAGACCCCTTGAGATTAACCCCTTAAGGACACGACGTGTGAGACATGTCATGATTCCCTTTTATTCCAGAATTTTGGTCCTTAAGGGGTTAAGTTGTTTGGTGCCTGCAGTGTCCTTTTAATATGAAAGATAATGTACATTATGGTTGAAAAGACATATACCATATATACTCGAGTATAAGTCGAGTTTTTCAGCACATTTTTTGTGCTGGAAAAACCCCCACTCGACTTATACTCGAGTCTCTGTCTGTATTATGGCAACTTGTAATGAGCCCGGCGGTCCTGTTGAGGGCCGGCAGGAAGCGTTTACTTACCTTTCCTTCTCTTCCGTTCCGTTTAGCGCCACTGTAAATCTTGTGAGAGCCGCGGCCGTCAGAGCCGTGGCAACGCGGCATGCAGACCGTGAGAGTTACAGCGGCGCTGACCGGAACGGAGGAGAAGGTAAGTAACAGCTCGCTGCCAGCCCCCCTCCTGCACAGCCCATCCACTGGACCACGAGGGAATAAT